GACTCTAGTTCCATTCAGGTTGCTGCAAAATTCATGATTTTGTTCTTTTTTTATGGCTGCGTAGTATTCCATCGTGTGTATGTACCACATTTAAAAAATCCAGTTCTCTTTTGATGGACAGCATGGTTGGTCCCAGGTTCTTGCTATTGTGAACAATAATGCCATATTTTTGTATCGTTTCTGTTTAGATATGTTCAAATTCACAAATAGTCATCATTTTGCTACAGTTACCTACAGTGTTCAGTATAGTCACATGCTGCCCAGGTGTGTAGCCTAGGAGTACCAGGTTACACCATCCAGGTTTGTCTGAATGCACTCTATGATGTTTGCACAAGGACTCAGTCACCTAATGATACATTTCTCAGAACACATCCCTGTCACTAAGTGACACATGACAGTATGACAATGTTCATCTGTTGTGAACTGAATATGTTGAAATCCTCACCCCAAGCTGATGGTTGGAGGAGATGGAGTCTTTGGGAGGTGATGAGGCTGTGGGGTGGAGCCTCATGAATGGGATAAATGTCCTTGAAAAAGGGACCTCAGAGAACTGTCTCATTCATGTCTGCCATGTAGGGCACAGCAAGAAGGTGGCTGAAGAAGGTTGTCCCAGAACCCGGCCCTGCCAGTGCCCTGAGCTCACGTTTCAGATTCCAGAACTGGGAGAAATCAGTGTCTGTGGTTTAAGACAGTTTCTGTTATCTTCTTCTAGCTGTCCAAGTAAGACATGTGTGACATCTGGGACATGTGTGTACCTAGTGTGCTTGTGGTTTATCTGGACTGCCACCTAACTGGGGCCCCATGCCCATGGTCCTCAAGAGCCTCTTATCAGTAGCCACATGGACCCAGTACCACACAAACCTGTCACATCCCAGGAAGGCCTCCCCAGTTATCCCAAGGATGCCCCTTTCTCAATCTCACCCTTTAGCTCCTGCTCTATGTCATCTTAGTCATACCTGCAGTTATGCAATCACTGTGTCCCAAGCTCCCAAGATCATGCCTAGCACAACTGGTTCTCCACAAACATGCCACATGAGCAAATGAGAAAGGGTGGGTGACTAGATCCAACACCTCTGCCCCCAACCTCCAGTCCTCAGCCTCCGCTGGGTGACCGGGTCAAGTGTAGATGCCGCTGCCCTATCCTACCTGTTGCTGTGCCCTGGGAGAAAGTATTTGTGCGCACACACACACACACACACACACACACACACACACACACACACACATGTATTCACATGTACTCATACAAAATACATCCCATGCACACACAGTCACTCATAGCATACACACACCCACATAAGCACACACACATACTCATACACACAAATATAATTCATGCACACACACACAGGTACACATAGCATACACACACACATATGCATTCACACAAAAATACACCATCCACACACACAATTACACATAGCATACAACTATTCATACCCACAGATGCATGCACACACCACAAACATCACATACAAATATGCATACACACATCACACATACCAAACACCACACACACACCATACACATATATGCATACCAACCAACACCAGACATATATAAAACACACATCACATACACATGCTCATACATGCAAATTCATCACGCACACACACATACATTCACACAGGCACTGCACACACACACACATTCTCACACTGATTTCAGCACACATGCACGCGTATGTACACACACATACACATACACACACACATAACCAGGCCTCACAACTGGCGTCCTGGTTCTGCCCTGCTGTGCCTTGCAGCCCTCCGAGGCTCCATTTGGCCTCTGGGCCAAGGCTCAGCAACCGTTTTCTGTAGAGGACCAGACAGTATTCTTGGCTCTGTGGCCATGTGGCATCTGCTTAGACTATGGAGAGAGCAGCCACCGTGTGCCCATGACCAATGTGGCTGTGCTGCAGCCACACATTACAAATACAGGCTTTTGATGGCTGACCAAGGGGGTCTTGTTCTTTCCCTTACAGAGTACGAGGCTCAGTCAAGGGCCAGGGGGCTGGGCGGGCAGGGCCAGAACTCCATGTGAGGTCATCCCCCCTCCCAGATCCTATGTTCCTGTTCCAGGAGCCTGTGGCCCTAGTGTGCTGCAGAACCTCCCTGTGCTCGCCTGTGCCCACCTGTGCTCACCTGTGTCCTCCCACAGGCCAGCAGCATTTGCACCTGCATGTGGTGCTACATGTGGGACCGTGGTCAGCCATTGCCACCCTCCTGCATAAGGTCAGCCCCTGTTTCAAGCCAGCTGCCCTCCCCTCTTCAGGACAATCCTTTCTGATGTCTCCACCACCACCACCAAGCTGCATAAGCTTGGGCCACGGGCAACACCTTTGCCAACCTTAGTTTCCCTACTGTGAAATGGGGCATGGGGACAATACATCAGAGCTGCCCTCTATGGGTCAGCTGGGTCAGGACACGAATTTGAGATCAGAGATGGAGGTCTGATGGGCTTCTGTCAGCTCACAGGGCAGCAAGGGACAGGCATGACTCCTCCACCAGGGCAGGGCTCTGTCCCCTGCTGCCCCCAGGGGCACCTGGCCCTGCCCACAGCTCCCCTAGGGCTTCACCCGTGGGCCCACCCCATCACCTCCTCTCACCCACCTCTCTGCTGCCTGCTACTGTCATCACTTGGGCCATGTGCCCACCCCAAGGCTAACTCTTGAGCCTGCTGACCTGGGCTTTCCCAAGGGCAGGCTCCTAAGCTCTAGCCTGTCAGACACCAGCTGGTTCCTCTGAAGCTGCTCCCTCCCCTGGGAGCTGCCTGCAGCCTTCTCCCACGTGTGCAGGAGTGGCTGTCTGTTCTCTCACTGGCCTTGCTATGACCTGGGAGGCCCCAGGACAGTGGCTTCAGCTCTGTCCACTGCTCTACCACGCCCCCCCTCTCCCTGAGGGCATTTCTGACTGGAGTGGGGGGGTGGTGAGGCTGTGTTCTGAACAGGATTCTTTGGGCAAAGTTGGTTTAATCAGTTACTCAGATCTCTTGGCTATAGGAATTATCAGAGCCTTTACTCTGATAAGAGTACCACAGCCTTCTGAGGAGGGGTAGAACAGTGTTTTCCAAATACTTGGTTTTCCTTTTTTAAAAATACACAGAACATAGGGCTAAAAGAGAGCCCAGAGACCTGGCCGCAGACAGTGGCATTGGAGGAAATCTGGAGGGGCTGTGGTGGAGCTCAGACTGGTCGTGAGGTTCCCAACAGTCCTTGGGCCTCCCCAGGCTACCTTGCAGTCCAGCCTGGGCACATGCCCCATTGGATCAGCCCTGACACCCCACAGCAGGGCCCAACTCCTCACCAGAGCTCGGAGTAACCTTCAGGTGGGGCACCTGGTCGCCCTGGCAAAGGCCATGCCTACCTGGTCGCAGGTAAAGCGTCACTTTTTGTGGGGACAACTGCTTGCGGCCTCCCTCCTGGTCTTCCTGGGCCTCGGCAAGGCTCCTTGGGTCCATAATGTCGTCGGCTGCACAGCCCCGCATGAGCAGCTGCTGCCGGGTATCGCAGCGAATGGAGTCAGGGTCCCCCGGACCGGTGAAGTTCTGGGGGAGGGGAGCCAGTTGTCAGTTAGAGACTGAGGGCCTTTGGGACAGAAGTCCCAGTGGGAGTGGGGAAGGAGCTGGACAGACTGCCAGGGAAGACCCTTGGCCCCCGGAAACCCCCTTGCTGGAGGCTCTCAGACCACATGCAGAGCCCCAGGCAGCAGGGCATCCCCCCACACCTCCAGCATCAAAAAGAACTCAGGATCCTGGTCTGCAGCCCAAACTCTGACCCAAGAAGGGCAGTCTCCATGGCTCAGATCCAGAGCCTTCACATCACCTGGCCACTGGCACAGGGAAGTCATGCCCTTCTTCTGCAGAACCTTTGTCCCAGGGAGCTCTCTGTCCAGGGAGAATGTGTGTGTCCTCTCTCAGCCAGCATGGCAGGTCAGAAGCACCTTGGGAACCTTGGAACATAGACCAGGGCTCTGGGCCACACTCCTTGTTGTTCAGAGGGGAGTGTGGTGATCCTGAGTTCAGGGCACTTTCCTCTTGACCACTTTATCCCCCTAGAGACCTTCTGGATTCTGACATGGGCCATATTTGGTGGGTCCTGACACTGGCCAGTGCCTGCCACACCCACGAAAGCCGTGCTAACAAGAGAAGGTGCTAGAGAGTACATGAGTATATTTGCTCACTTTCTCAGGGGGAAGCTCTGGAAGGACTACCCAGAATGCAGGCATTCTGAACCAGAATGCTGGTTCCCATGGGGGG